TTTTAATGATTTTTACTCAGGTATAGAACGTATTTTACTTTTTTTGCGCGTAACAGTGAGATCTCGTAAGCATAAAAATGTCCGTAAAGGTTCACACGATACTGCAGCAATTTCTAAAATACATGACAGTTTAACAAAGAACCAAAACCAATTTCATCGCACACCAAGAGTGGACTTTTTAGATCCGCATTCAACCACATCACAGTGATTTCCCAACTGCTTGTATTTTCTGAAAATTGAAGTTGTAGTAAGACAAAAGATCGCATTAGGACATTACGAATGCTTTTTGACCCAACAGTGTCCAGAGTTGTAGTTCAGGTTTGTGAAGCCAGAAGCATTCCCACATTCTGGAAGATTGTATGATTATTATAAGTGTGTTTAAATCCGGCCGACATGGGTAAAAAACCAATGTTTAAGCACGCATGGATCTCTAGAGGGATTCGGCCTACGACAGTTTTTATCAGAGTAATTTATAAAGGTCTGAAGTACCCCCTATTTTCGTTCACACTGTTTTTTCTCTGGCAGAATTGCCTTGAAGTGTATTCTGTCTGAAAAACTGCTTTTCAAATAGCATAGCTATCTGATACGTGCATTTTACAACGTCCGAATAGTCCCCACTGTCCGTTTAAGTATCAATTAACATGCTTCGCAAAACCATCCACTTGCGTATAGTTTTGTTGTTTCAGAGCACATTCCTGCATAAAAAAATTAACCGTGCATTGCGTGTTTTGCTGTACTGGATGCGTTGTGCTTACGGCAGCCAAACGAACAAGGCACATGTAGCCCTGTGTGTACATTCCATGTATAATAGGAAGGCAGAAGATGGAATCAAACCTACATTTGAAATAAGCAGACTAAAAGCCAGCGCACGCGTCGGATAGGAACTCAAACACGTACTGTGTACCCAACTTGCAAGCTTTTGTGCTTAGAATGACTGCCTAGAACGCAAATTATCCCAGTTGCCCATTTCTGAATAATGTACTGTTCCCTATCAAAAGAAGCATTTTAACCTTGGAGGTTTTCTCAGAACTTGATTGTCGTTTAATGTAACGGCTTGAGCAACATTGAAATATTGATCTGTGCAGTTTTAACTATGTTAGATGGCCCTAAGTGGATGCGAAATTCAGGAGTGGTGACCGAACATTCCAGTCCAGTAAAAGAAGTCACGTTCATCTTGAACAAATGGTCTGGTCAATTGCTTTTTCCTGCAACGTAGAGGGTTTTTACCATATACAAGTTGCTCGAAGCTAGTTACATGTTTGTGTTGCCAGTTCTCTAGACGTTTTATTCCTACCTTGTAAAACGTTGTAACAAATATGTATGATTTTTTGCACATGCTTTTTGGTCGTCATTTTCACGATTAAAGCCTGCAATGCGGAAACTTTAGTAGGAAACGATATTGCGGTCCTTTTCATACAGTGATGCAAAAAAATTAAATCTGAGAGTAGCAGTGGGCCTAGAAGAATTCTCTTTTGGTTAGAATGCCCATTTCACGTCAAGGATTATCTCTTACTGGCGTCAACTTGCAATTCTTCGTAGGCATAAAAATAGTATGCAGTGAGGAACTCCTTTAAATCCTTACTTTGATTTGCAGTTTTTAAGCATAGTGTCACACTTGGCGGATGCCTCTGCAAACGAGTAAGTGTCGCCTTAGTTTCCTCAAAAATATGTCCAAAGCGGAGTGGGATGGCTATCACCGTAAACTCTAAGCATAAATTTTATGGCAACCTATAAAGCCATAGACGGCGTTGCTCGCTTGCTCAACTAGTTGTTTTATGTTTTGACACTTTGCGTTAAAGACGAAGGCGGGAAGATGAAACCGCACCAAAAGTACAACAGATTGATATGAGCGAACTTCGGCAGTAAAAAAGACCGGCAATGGAACTGAAGACCACTGGTAATTTGGCTGATTTTCCAGTAATTTATCAGTTACTTCAAAATATATCTGTTACCCCTTTTCAGGGAACAAACTTTCAGTTACTTCAAGCCTTTCCGTCGCTAATGGATGCCCAAATAGGATTCCCGACAACATCACATGTCTATCTGTTTCTTAAGCGCACACGGCAAAGACGAAACGAGGCCTATTAAAGCAAACGCTTATAGCACTAGAGGTAGAAATTTCCAGCTTGCAAATTAGGAAAACTTTGCAGCTTTATCCGTTTTATGTATTAAAATTTAGTTATAAAATATTCGACCTCTTCAAAGAAATTCAACCAGGCTTTAACGGTTGAAGAAGGGCAGGATTATTTTGGTAAAACGTGATCACTCAAAACAACGCAGAGCATCTGCCTATTCAAACTGATTAGGAATAAAGTATTAATAGAAGAAATGACACTGCGTTCACAGTTTTACTGCGCAAATTGTTCTCAAAATTGGAGTAAGTAACACCAACAGATTAGATGGCCGTCACATCGGATAATAGTAAATGTGAGTCGTTTAACAGAAACTAATTAAAAAGAGGCCGCCTGAGTAGCCCAGGGATCAAAACACGCAACCATATCGGGTGATACTGGGTATTAAGAACCGAAGCCTTCTTGAAATAAGAAAGTATGACTTGTCAAAACAGACAAATTTGACAAGTTTTCATTTGCTTATAATCTTTGGTAAATAAACGAGCACAGATAGTCTTTTGTTCGCTGGTTTTGAGCACAAAGATAACCCTTGTTGATTCTTCAATTTTCATATTTTAATTTTTGGCTTGAAGATCTGGAAATATATTTACGAGCTCGTATTTTGGACGAAAAAAGGCCTAGTTCATTTTCGGTCAAGATTATTTCCGAAATAGTTTGTGCTACTTAACAGGTGCGACACCGGGTCGTGCCAGACAATTAGGATTAAAGAGATCACGCAACTAAATAATTTCTACTGCGAAGCGAGGGCTTATCTATGTCCCCGGCCCTCTCAAATTGACATCTACTTTCCAACATCTCCAGTTAAAAAAGCTATGCTTTCTAGGTGAAAAATTAATTCCTATTGTCCTCTTTAGGACCCTCTCGGTGAGTCGATTTTAAAGTGTAAGCAGAGGATCTCTTGGGTCGGCAGGGTTAACTTGTTTCCCCGGTCTGCCTTAATTTCATATTCGAGTTATACATCTGAAGGTGTTATTATGCAGTTTGTTGGAAGTAGCGGTTTTTGCCCTGGAGAGACAGAGAAGGGAATTAGCATTTAAACTTTCCAAGTGTGATGTCCGCCTAACTAAATGAAATGGGTAATATACATTGCCTTGACACATTTGCTAAATAGGCCTAGTTTAACGCCATGTTCCCCGTAATGTATGCGAATAACCAATCAAGAAAGCTTCAGTTTCAGACATTAATAAAGTTTTAATTTAAACTGTTTTAATTCTTGCAGATAAAACTTCCTGCCAAAGACCCGCTCGCTAAGCGTTTTTTTCTTGAGGTCTTGAAAGTGTTACTCTGATCATGGACTAAAAAGTGTATTTGTCTGTGTAAAGTGTTGGATAATAAGACTTCCAGTTTGGCGAAAGGGTTTCAATGAGGCCATTTTACTAGCTTTGCTGAACCGTAGAGGTAAGAAAGGGAGAGTCTGCACTAAATGAGTTTGCACAACGTCAGCGGGTGGAATCAACCTTCTCTGCAGACGTGGTGTCGAAAGCGGCCATGCAGAATAGAGCATAACAAAAACACGAATGCTTTGATTTCAAAAGAAATATTTTCAGGCCTTCCTTTAAGGCGGCTGAATACAGACTACGCTGAAAATTATACATGGTAGAGATGTTGAAGCGACATGACGATGCTAGACATGCTTGATAAATTTTGGTCTATCTTTGCGAAGCTCGCAGTGGATGACCACAGCTTGAAACCAATGACTGAAAAGAGGCAATGGTAATCAGAACATCGAGAAATCACAAGCGCTTAGGCCTCTCACAGGCGAATATAAGCGATGGTTTATCTTTAACCGCCTACGTGAATTTCCGCACGAGGTCCTATCTGTTACCACCGCAATACTCTGCCGATTTGGAAAAAACCCGTAAAGGGCAGTCAGGGCATCCAGAACGTACCAGAACTGCAGTAAAATGGAGTAGCAGATGCCTAGCCTAAACATGCGTGTTGGTCTTAGCTGCCATTACACTACTAATGCATTTGCTCAGGATACGAAATTGAAATTACGTTAAATTTTCCACGTTTGTCTGGACTTCAACTCCTGCGGCGGTGGTTTTTATCTTATAAACAGCCAGAACAACGAATAAAATTCCAGTACTGGAAAGGGCGGCGGCCACGGGAATGTCATTATTTTAGAAGTAGTTTGAATTTGGCCGGCGAGGAAAAACGAAATTTATCTGTGGAGGAATAAGCAAATATCATGTAGGTTTCAATTCTTCTGTTGTTGTCCAGCCTAGAGCCATAAAGAATCTTAAAGCCTGTCTAAATTTTTGGAACTAGGATTTAACATATTCAGTTTTTAGGATGACAGATGATTAGATATGTATTGCGAACCCAGATATACCTGGTGTGCTGCGGCCACAGCAAATGTTCGCAAGTTTGGTTAAAATCAGTGCCTCGTTATGTATAAGCGCTTATAAACGGCGGGCTTTTCAGGATTACAAGATCGATCGCCTCCCCTAACTCCGATAAATTCAATTTCTTCTATTTACAAATTATGTCTTTAATGTAAATACATGTTTAGGCTCCAAATCATTAGGTTTTTAAGAAGGTCAGACACAAAAGGAGTCGGAAAACGGATGTATATTCAACTCGGATGCTGACGAAGACCATGTTGGATTAAACATGAAGGAGATGTTGACTGTATAACTGTAATCTGAATAATTTTCACCGAGAATAAATAGACAAACAATAGAACTATCTACTGCTTTCCTGCCCACGGCCGTTGGGATTGTGCGGTTTTGCCAATCGCGAAAAATCCAACAAATGGCCGCATTCGCAGCTAAGAGCGCGCCCAGGGGAGGGATGTGTTGGCGCTAAATAGCATCCCTTCTGAGGTGAGAGAGTGCGATGGATGAAACGAGGTCGGAAGGGGGTCTACGGCTCCACCTCCGCCTGCAATACTTGAATGACAGTGCCACTGCCATAGGGTCCCGATGGATGGTCTGATTTTACCTTGGGCGTTGTCATTTTGACAATACAGTTGTTGAGACGTGGACAGCGCCGGAGACAGGCCGCGGAACAACAGATGCAATTGCAGCCGGTGGCGTAGGCGGTAGACTTGATGACAAAGTTAGTGTGATAGACCGTTAATGCTAGGATTGTGCCTGTGGCGAAACGTTCGTTCTCCATCTGGTGGCTGTCGGTCCAGCGCAGGCCCGTGATGGTCATCATGAGGATAAGCATGGGGATGTTAAAGACAATGAAGTTGACGTAGTAGCAGCGCAGCCGGAAACGCATTTTAAAACCGCCATTCATTTGCACCTTGGCCAGCGCGCCGTGGTAGAAGGCCACAATGATCGCCACCATGGGCATGAGTACTATGAAGATCATGTCATAGAAGAAGTAAACTTGCAACAGCGTGCTCTCATACTGGTAAGTGTCGATGGCAAAGATGGAGGGAAAGGTGATGATCAGGGAGAGAATATATATTACGCCGGGCAGTGCATGCTTACAGATATAGACAAATTCACGTGTGGGTGGCGGTGCCTTCACTACCTCCTCCTCCTTCTTTTTATCTGGCGTATCCAGGGTGTCAAAGCCAGCCAGCATGGCTGGGTAGAAGTCTTGACTGGGAAATTTGGTAATTCGTGAATCTGGAGAGTAGGATCCGCGACCGTCTATGCTAGGACGCATGAAATCCTTGATTAGGAGAGCATCGTCAGGAGAGAGGTGTTGACCAAAAGCCTTGTCCATCTGATCTCCACCGGATGAGGGTATGCCGGGTGAAAAACGACCTTGTTGAGAGCCCTTGAAACTGGGTCCTCGCGAGAGCTGTGTGGAGGGGATATGCAACATCGGACTCGTCTGCATCTTGCTCATACTAGGGGAAGGTGTGCCGAGGAAAGGAGAGTACTCCGAGCTCCGTTGATTGCTTGTCTCGGAACCGGGCACCATCAGGTTACCCAGATTCACGCGTTGCAGGACGTCGGATTTGGAATCAGAGCCTGTTCGTTTGGGCGAGTGTTTGCTACTGCTGCCCGGTTGTCCTGGCAGCGGCAATCCGTCAAAACCGGCGTTGGACATGTCCGCGGGGCTACGGGCGCCAGATTTATTGAGCAGCTGCAAGTACTGCATAGGCAAACCCGACTGCAGGAACTGGGCATAGAAGTACATGTACTCGGGATTGTTTTGAAAGGCTCGCTGCAGTCGTGTGTCTTTGGGTGGCGCAAACTTGTCCTGTAGCACTTCAATGATGTGTTCTTTCGTCCAAACCGCCCTAAAGGCCTTGAATCGTAGATAAGTCCGCCAAATAAATCGAATTATGGGCATTCGGTAGGCCCAGTAAACCATGTGGTAGACTGAGGCTGTCCTCGTAAAGAGATCGAAGAAGAGACGTGCTTGCATAAAGCCCAACTCGTTGATGAATTGATAGTAACGCGGATGATACGGCCAGAAAATGGGTCGAGCTAACGTTGAGAAAATGAGCGGGAGAGTGGAACAGAGAAGGACAAAGAGCTCAGGCCTTTGAGGAAAACTGACACCCGGTCGGCGCACATCCACCAGCTGAAGACATCCATGAATTGATATGTTTTCTAAATTACAAAAAAGACCCTAGCATTAAACTTCCACAGAGATGCACAAACTATCTTGCCCCCCCCACACTTCTGACGTAGCATACTACGAAGGTCCGCTTACTTTAAAACAACTTTCTAACACAGAGGAATGAACGCATACAGATTTAATGGACTCAACAAACAGGTATTTTTGATATTAAAGATAAGCAAACTGGAGTAGGTAATCGTGTACTAGACTGAGAGGGAACCAGACTCGGAACGGCGGGCCTCAGACAATTAGAATTAAAGAAATTGACCTGAACGACTAGCTGAGGAGGAGGACTCGACGAATTAACAGCCTTATAGCAATAGTCATCTACGCGGCTACCGAATGAGAAAGTGAATCAGCTTGACTGAAGTATTGCATGAATCTGCATTTTAGTTATCAGTCTATCATCGCAACGCTCTCTTATATTCTGTGTTTCTTCTGATTCTCTCGGTCAAGTTTCATTTTGATGAAAGGGCTTGGTAGCAACTGGAGGAGCGGTCTTGGAAAGTGAAAATCTGCAACATATTCTGCTCTTCGATTTTAAATGTTAACTTGTTTCGAACGAGACATTATTATTAACTCAGACCTATTTCCTGCTTCCTGTTCTAGGACTGGCTAGCTACATTAAAATTACACTAAGTTTACCTTTCATAAACGATTGTGAAAGTCAGAACGTTTCAGTTACGGGATCTGGACCTATTCGGTCTAAAGGCCCTCACAAAGCTTTGGCTGTGCGGTTCATGAGGAGAGGCCTTTCTGTACCCAAATTAACGTACCGTTGCTTGAACGAAAAATGTGCTTTGGGTTTTCAAATTTCATCTCATTCCATAGCCTAAAAGGCCACTTAAAAGGGATAAAAAGGGTCACTTTATAAACAGAACGTTTAGGAATAGATACTAACCCGCAGCGAAATTGTAAATATGCGCGAAGTATGCTAATACTTGAAATCTATTCTGCGGTCCCTCTTATTTGAAAAAATTTTGCTGTTTCACCTTGATCTTTTAAGGTGTCACATCCGGCCATTAGCGATTAAATTTACTTCAGAAGGCTTAGACGTCAAATTACTCGAAGAATGTTTTGGTGCACCTTTGAGATATAAACGTGATTTAGGTCACAAATTAAAAAGTACCGAGAAAAAACTAAAACCTTGGACCTGCACAGTTTGCTTTTCACTATAACTCTTATTAGAAGGCTCAGAATTATCAACTTAAGCAGTTTTTGTTTACAACGAGACCAAAAAGTATACTTCAAGTTCTTCCTTCTATATATGGCGATTCAAAAATCCTTTAGTTGTGTCAAGGAAAGAAAGCGCAGTAGAGGACAAGAGAGGAGTCAAATCTTAACGCCTATTTTAGGACTATCGCATTTTTGCAGAACATTTGCTGACATTTTACCGGGCTTACGAAAGAAACTTCAGCCAAGTTTGACTTTGAATAGATGACTTCTTAGGCGAGAAGATAAAAAACTACTGTAAACAGTTGAGTACTGCGAAAATGCCACTGTACAGACTTGGAAAAGTGCGGGCCGAAAATCGTTTTGAGTGAATGCACGGTGTCTGCATATAACAAAATAAATCGTGTTCAAAAGTTATTTTGCCGATGTTTGACGTTTATCCTGAACCTACTATTAAAATCATCAAAATAATTAATATCCTAAGTTACCTAGTCATGTGGTAATGTGTCGTAATGCGCAAAACTTTCTACATGAAAACACTATCTAAGCTTATGAGAGCGACTCAAGATCTCGGCCAGGAGACAGAATCAGGTGGTGGGCAGTAGTTGACAGCGGTCTACCCTCAGCTAATCTCATATCTATGAGGACAGTTCCTAAGTAGATAGGCGGACTTCCATAAAAACAGTTCCCACATGAACCATCTGAAACACAGAAATGAACTAACACAGACCAGCCATAAGATGGCGACTAAGCCAAGTTCTAGCTACTTAATGGTGGGATACTTTATTTACGCAAGTGTACAGGTCACATTTAAGGGTCATGATGGTTTAAAAATACTAACAACGTACGTAAGAATGAAAAGATTTTAAATGAGACTCTTTTCAAAGCGCACATTTCCTTAGAAGCCTAGGAGGGAATGCCCTTATTTAAAAGCCCAAGTTGGTTCAGAATCCTTCTGGTTTTCTATGGAGCATACCGTTTTCGCATGCGTCGAATTCTAATAATTTTATTTGCCGTGGGGATATAAGTTACTGTTGCAAAAATGATAGCACATCAAATGACATGACATCATAAAGCAAGTATCTAACTTCGTGTGGGTAAAAACTGATTGGATAGACAACGCATGGTGCGAAATCAGAAACGCGAAGGTTGATTTACTTTCTAATGCAAAAGATAACTACATATTTGCTAGATGAAAAACATGGAAGAACCCTACTAGTGATTGGTTTAACTCAATTAAAAAGCTTCGACATTTTGGAGCAATTGAAACTGACTCAAAACCAAGCTGAATTCCAAATGTTTCTCCTAAAAGTGCACATTTTTCAACGGGCTTCATTAATTTGCGCAAACTAGGGGGAGCCTTACAGATGCACAATGTAACCTATTCCGCATCCTTGGGCGTCTTCTTAAGAATCAAGATTTTCCGGTCGCTTGGCGGGTCAAGCTCTTCCAGTTAAAGTCTTGGATTTTTGTTGGCTTAGCACTTAGTGGCCTACAGTGGTCATTCTGCTATAACGACCTGGCTAAGGACTTAGGCACTTTTTGTCGGAGGCAGGTCACGCTGGGTAATCTGAAGATGCACCTATTTCAGCGACCGTCGCAGTTATGGACGCATTATCTCACTAATCCCTCAGTCACCCATGCTATTTCGCCGCCATCCTCTGACTTAAATTCAGGATCACTTTTTAGCTTGCATTTAAACAGGGCCAAGAAGCGTGGGAGGGAAACTAGAATTGACCCTACTGTCAACAGTAGCCTCTATGAAAAGTATAATTCTCAAGATAAGGAAATTTGTTTTGTATGACATTGTCAGTATACATTTATCGTGTTCCTGAACAAACTGCAGGTACTTATAAAAGGAGCAGAGCAAAAAGTGTCAATGCTTCTAATGAAATTTCAAAGGCCTTATGAAACGAAATCAGAAGTGTTCTGCCTCGCATTTATTTGGTAGAAAATCCCGGCTTCGTCACATTCTACATCCGAAGAAAACATTTTTGCATTATGAGATTTTTAAGATTCAAAATATCCATTCCTAAGGCATCATGCCTGCGTATTTATTAATGCTTCCCATGGAATTTCCAACATGACCACACCCATTGCAAATATTTTAGACCTCGTGTGTGGAAGTCTTAATAGCTTAGAGAACTGCATAACTTTACTTATGTGGAAATTATGCACCATGTAGTGTGGAAGCAATATGCACAAGTCAGGTTAAAATTGTTTGGGAATTTAAAAAAGTCTTCAGAACAGACCAGTACTCTTTTTAAAGAAATATATTTTTAAAAAGACGTAATTTTTTGCAAAATGAGCTAAAAAAGCATTCATGCGTATGTCTTACAAAATAACTATCGCAATTTACACGGCTGTCGAAAACCAATGAAAAATGCATTCTGCTCCAGTAGTCATTTTTTTGAATTTGGCTTTCGTAGGTGGCCCGAAAGGATCTTATTCAGAAGCTGATATCTCTGCGTGACTGAAGTATTATTGGATTGCGCTGTACCCAAGTAGCCCTTTATAATCGAAGACACATTTCAAAATCTCGGTCAAGATTTCATGAGCTAGGCCACGCATTAGAGGTAGGGAACCATACTAGCGCTCATGTGGGCAGTAGATTGACACTGCTTGTATCTATCTTGACGAAGGTTAGGGTTACCGGACCATCTCAAATCTGGAACCTGATCTACGCAATGAGCTGGCTGCGTTTTGTAAATAGCACCGCATATTTATGAATTTGAGTCAGCTTGTTAATTGATTTGGCCAATTACGCGGTCATCAAATCTAGATAGTTGTAACACAAGGAGTTTTATGAAAATTGCCATGGATAAAGCACCCACCTCTCTGTTACCTTACAGCTTGGCGGGCGGATCCACGCTCTGCACTATCTGTGAGCACCGACAGTGGGAAACGGGGTTTTCCTTGTATTTGCTAATTCTTTAGTTGACTCATTTGTCAGTGACTGGTTGGAATTTACAAAAATTTCGAATAAGAACCTAGTCACTTTATCTACGTTTTTGGTGGTACCCGTCTCCTACTCATATAGTAACTGTTTTTGAGCAGAAATCTGCTCATTTCATCGCCAGTAGTTTAGGTAAAGTCCAACCACATCACCAAACTCGTAGTGCTCTAGAAGCTCGGTACACGAGAAAGCTCTGTGGCGAAAGTGTTTCGCGTAATGCCAGAGTTTTCAAGTAAGCATTTCCTACGATCTCCCAGGGACAAAAATTAAAGTTTGTAGGACTGTACCTGGAGAAAGCCGGTAGGGCTCTCTTGGATGGCTGGTACCACATGAGGTCTACACGTCACTAAGAATTTTGACCTTTAAATAGACAATAAATTAACGATCTCATTGACAGGCTGCGTTTGAAGTTTCTATCGTTGCATGATCTATTACTGTCTTTCTATTAAGCGTAAGATCCCATTTATTTCAAGCAAACATTTGTGCAAAGCCGTTCCAATATCCGTATCTGCGCGGAACGACGTAGTTCTCAGCCAGCCAGGCAGGCAGGCAGAATTAGTCTTTCTGAATATGCCTAGGACTTTATTCAACGTCCGATATTGTTACAGATTGCAAATGCTACGCTTCCACCAGCCTATCTAGGAATTTCTCAGTTTCGCAGTGGCTTACCAGATCGGTAGACATGTGCTATTTCTTAATGTCCAAGAATGAAAACTTCACACTGACATAAAAAGTGAAGTTCTTTTCTCCGGCTAAAACCGCCTTTAGCGAAATGCTAGAAGTAAGAAAATACAGGCAGCTAATCATATGTGACAATGGTATCGAAAACGTCTGCTGTCTGCATATTTTCCAGTGGAATGATAAGCTTGATGCTTGATTATGCAACGAGGGAGAAGAAAGCCTGGAAAGGCCTTAAATCTAAACCATGGACTTTTCCCTTGCTTCACGTGGCCGTTTGAATTCAATTGTGGGTGCAATAAAAAACCTCGATGATCTTTGGGTTATCAGCAGAAGGACGAGGCATTCTGTACAGTTATCTTCCAGTCCCCTAATGCGCTTTTATATGGGCATCTTATGCACCATTAAATGCCCTCTTGTTAGTGCTTACAGCAGGGCCTTTATATAATATAGGTTCAGGAGTCATTTGAAATTCTTTAAAAATCGTCCTCTAGCAACGACCTAGGTATTCACGCTTCGCGGTGCAAGCGTGGACTATTTGGTCCAGGTCAGCCGGTGGTAGCGGTTTTAAGAGAGCGAATGGCAGTATATCTAAGGTTAAAAGCCGTCAAGTGCACACGCGGAGGTCATTAATAATTCCCGCCTAGATGCACTTCGGATGGCCTTTTTTTCTGACCGCAATCTGTCCCACTATTGCCTAGCAGCTCGTTTCGGACCAAATTCTGTGCATCCGACTTTTTGCATGACAAAGTCAAGGTGACAGCATATAGTGCAAAGGAGGATTTATAACAAAGAGGTTTAGTAAAATAGTAATTGGTGAAAACGGTCAAAAGATGCCCTCACCACGACTATAAAGTCACTCGCACTACAATGACACGACTTACATTTTCAGGCACATATAACCACCTTTCCACTTCAGAATTTCAATAGAACTTGAGTTCGTGTTATGCAGCAAACTTTCAAATTCCCTTTCAGTAAAGGGAGTCCATGCATGCCGAATAGTGTGGAGTAGTCTTGACTGGCGATTTCTACTGTTGCAATATTCACACCTGGACAATGGTTTCCGTATATTTGCATATGAGCTGCGACTGCAGCCCAGCGATAGCCAAGTCATTGTTCGGTTCCATTTGAGACTCTGTTTCGTCCACCTGGCTGTATGCATATATGATACAGGCGCCTTGTTGAAACATAACATGCTTATCGTTGTTTTGTCTTAAAAATTGCAGTATATGGGCAAAAAGGGTCTGAAAATGCTCCCGGGTACTCGGTTTTCCCAGTAAAAAGACCTATTCTAACGTCGTATGCGTAATAAAAACTTCGCACTTCCACGCGATAGTCCAGAGCAAATATTAAGCTCCATGTATAAGCCGTGTCAATAATGATTTCAACCGCCTGCACCAATCAAAAATGAGTTTTTTTATTTTAAAAACTACACTCTAGCATAGATCTGTCGGATGATGTGACCTCCGGCCCATCGTATCATCTGTTTCTTGGGGTTTTTTGTCAACGGCGGTTTTCCTGGAAGCTTTTGATAAACGAGTAGAAAAGAGCACTTTATAATTTTAAGACTTGTAGTTTTGTGATAACAACGAAGCAAAATCCCACTTGACAGTCCCTTAGTTAAAGATACGATACTGACCTTTTCGCCTGTAGTGCGTAGCCTTCCCTCCACTACCTCTTCTTTCTTCATTTTTTACAGTAGGCTAGAGGAGCCGCGTACAGTCATTAACCAAGAATTTCGTTCTTTTGAGCGTCATCTGACTTCTTTACCGTTCAGACGTCTTGCACCTTACGTCGAAATATGGGCCTGCTAAAAATGTGCCACCTGCACCCCTGTTGGAATTCGTAAACGGCAAAAAATTGGCTGCGGCTTATTAGTTTTGGGGATGAGTCGACTTGCAAGTGCTACTCTGTGCGTTGCTGTCACTCCAAGGTCGCTGCTGATAACAGCATTAACATAAAACACGGCAGGATATTCTGTTATGTCACGTTCCTGGTCCACGTGCGAAGAGACGCTGCCACATTAAGAGGTCTTAAATCTGTGGGGCATCCATCTTTTGACCATTCCTATTACTCAGTACTATACCAAAGTCTCTTTCAACAGAACATTGTAAACACTCGTAATTTCTGCTTTACACTCTCATTCAAAAAACTGACTCGATTTTTGCAACCTTATCGAAGTTGTTTGCCCAAACCTATGGCATCATGATCGTTGGACAGACTGTATGGGTGGAAATCATGGGCTCAGTAACGTGTATTTAAACGAACTATATTTCAGACGGCCAAAAGTAGCACGAAGAAGTACTAAAAGATTAACAGCAAACAATGCTTTGCAAGTTCACTTCGACTTACTTAAACTTGCTGTTCGAATGGGAATTGACGAGAGGTGCCAGGAAATACTTTGTTGATTTTTGCAAAACCACATTCACCAAAACTCGAGAAAATATTTTCTATCAAAAACTACGAAATGTCTAAAGTTTATGCTTGGGAGTTAGTAATCCGGCCAGTTTTAAATATTGATGCAATTGGCTTATCAAATGGCACGTATTCACAACGGGTTCCCTATTTCTTTGAATTATAGTACTTCTCACAGAAGACAGACGACCACCGGATTGATCCCCACTAGTAATAGAAAGGCGAAAGGTTACTGGATCGGATTCCTACCAAAAGGAATGTGTGACAACTTATTACCCAGGAGATCATGCAGATTTAAATTTCCTTAAACGGCGGCAAAATGTGAACAGTGAGTGTTTGCACAAAGAGATACATAGATGGAGCTTGTTCACCCACTATATCAAGTAATTGCTTCTAAGTATAGATTGTGAGAGCCACATATATTGCTGAAGGTCACAAATAAGTTGCCTCAGATGATCTTAGTCGGCCTCCTGTTTCGCAAACTCAGCCTCGGGAACAGTTTCATGTCAAAAATAAAAGCTGAAACTGGGGCCGTTTCAAGTACGGCCACTTAAGGACTCCGAACAACAAATATGGCTATCAGTGATGTCGCGATTACTTTTAATATACCGTTGGGAGCCTACCAACATGGGAAGCCTTCGGCTATCTGCCCATCCTTGGATGCAAACGGGATTCGTATTATATATGATAGAGAGCGGAAGTAAGGAGTGGAACTAACGTGAAATCCGCGACCCAAATTTTCTGCACACATATACTTTGCAAATCATAATTCTCACACAGCACTGCATATTCCAAGACATATTTATCCCTTCAGTTCAACTGCCCGGTGTTTTTAAACAAAACCTGCGCCGAATATTTGAAACTTCAAACAGCATCTCGCACGCGCAAAGACTCATTTTGAGCATTCTGCATGTTGTAGTTCACAAACATGATTAAACCTGTTTGTTTTTTATGAATTTTAATTTGCAGATGTCTAAGCAGTTTGCCTTCGTACGACTTCTAACCTTCAGATGCAATCAAGGTAAGTAGCCCAGGGGACGTGGAGCGCGTAAGAAAGCACTACGCGCTTTCCATTCTCCGGTGGTGAAAGACACAAGTTTGAAAAGTCTGGTTAAAGGACAGCTTATCAGAAATGGGTTTTCGGGATTGAAAAGCAAAGATCCTTAAATCTTACTGAAGCGGCATTAAATCCTCAGGCCAACCGCTGTCTCAAAATGCAGAGACCCGTATGCGCTCTGTTCTTTTCAGTATTCAAAGGCCAATGTAAACCGATTTTTCCAGTAATATTTAAGCAGTTTTGCGTTTCTCGACATCATCCCAGGGCAGCAACCGAAACCACCTCCCTCCAGAATTTTTCTACGCCCGCGTAATGATTTTGTGCAATACTGTAAAATCCCAAGTGCCACCGCCAAGTTTCCTTCCTCCCGTTGCTGCAGTTCAGCTGTCTTATCTGTGACAGCATCAAGTAATTAAACAGAAGAGAATTATTTCAGTCGGTGTCTACAACGTTTTTGACATTTGTGAAACTAAGTCATTTAAAGGATGGATTACTTAAAAATGCGGCTGGGTTTTTAGAGCCTTTTTTATTGCTTATGCCATGGCGCAACCCATTTGACGCCATACTCAAATAACTTGTCTTCACTGAATGCAGCACAGATATGACGCTAAGATCACAGCCTAATAATATCCTGGGATGTTTAGGCTAAGAAAATTATTTCAAGGGTTAGGCGGAGAAACAGAATGGTACGCTTTCTACTATTGTCAAAACCAATATGCGGACTCAAGGCAAAGTGCGTGAGACAGCCAGAGAAGAAAGAATGAGCAAACGGTATCGGCCAAACCTGAGGGTTACTGTGGATCTGCGTGTTGTTGCCTAGACCGTTCAGAGGAATGATTATATTCAGGTAGCCAGTGTATACAATTTTTGCATCATGTGTTCCATACTTGGCCTGCAATCTCATTTTGGGGTATTTTGGTAAGACTGTGTTTAGTCTTCAATTTTACGAAATTTTTCCTTCATGTGTCTTGCCGATGATTGGTCGCTCTAATCCTACCCAGAAATCCCTCTCGAAAGAGTATCGAATAATTTGTTGCATTCTTTTATAGACGATGACTCTGGGTACTTGGCCTCCAAAAAGAGCTAGGAATTAGGCCCTTTTCGTGCAATTCGAATGGTCTACAGTATGCGTTTCAGTAGTTCTTCAAGCAGTGCGACTTAGTTTTTGGAAAAAAACATTCCCATCATCGTTAGCAGGCACGTTCATCTGTAGGAAATTTGGTCTGGACATGAGTATAAACACCCCTTCGGCGTCACAGGTGACTTTGCCTAAATTCCGGAGGGCACCTATTCTCCAACCCTCCTAACTATACAACAAACCTAGCACTAATCCCCCGTGGAATATAGCGTAAGACCACCTGTTATATAAGGATTAGTTATTTCCGTGTCCTGCCTGTACGCATTTTCAGCCGTAAACAAGGCCTTAGAGGGATACCGCTGAGATAAGTGGAAGAGTCTAATTTGATCCGTTAGCCGCTAGCACCACTGCGCAAACTCCAAATTTTGAATTAATGTTATAAAATGTGGTCGCGTTTCGTGGAAGGGGTCCAAAACAAAAGCGTGATCAAGGCGAGTCGTGTCATCACGTTGAATTGCAACACGTCATGTTGATGACCAAGGTGATCGTGCCGACTTTCTAGACAGCTGTGCTGCGGATAAAGATCTGTCTTCTGACGAGGTCACCAAAGGCCGTTTTATGTTGTGCATCAAGTGAGCACATGAAAAGAGACTGCACAGACCCCTGATATGTGTTTTACCTCTCTCTCTCCGATCCAACTCTTCCCCTGTCTTCCTGGTAATGTTTTCCAAAAACTCAAAATTTTTACGACGCCTCAGAATTTTGCATTTGGACGTGTGCTTTAGTTTAACTGAAGACTGGAATTTGCATTATCGGACCGTTGTGCAAACGGGACGAGCGATATTTGACAATATAGGCAATGCGTGACTTTGTAATACACCAGTTAATTACTTCATATACACTTATAAATTATTGCCTCTCCCTCCTGCGTTATGTCCGCCTAAGTCTTGCCAATAGAAAAAGCATCCAGGTCTTCGTGCCCTCCTTCCGTAAAGCAGGGCGAAGGCGCGCATGTTGAACTTGGAATAGATGTTTGGAATACTTCTCATCACTTCACTTATCACTCTCTCGTTATTTGTGAACCACAGATATATACAAAAACGATGGAGCATCAGCATTCCATTTGACATTTAAAAAAGGACTTACTCGTAACACCGAAAAGGATCAGTGTGAGCAGGAAAACGGTCGCAAAGTAAGAGACAGCTACGTTCCCCACACACACGTAACGCTGAAACTCCGGTTCGCCCTCATCGATATCTGTGAGACAGGGGTGAGGAGGAGGACGGGTGGGTTTTGCAGTTGTCGTGACCTCCTGAAGCAGCGTCTGATTAAGAGGCTTTTCTGTTTCCATCGTCTTATTTGGTTCCTCCAGTGAGTCGTTGAATAGCACAGAGGTGGAAACGTCAGCTGATTCTGTAGTTGTTGCCGTCAGTGAATCAGTGCTCGACATGATGTAGATGTTAGTGGGAGTTTTGACATTCCCTTCACTAAAATCCTCCGCCGTATTCATTATGGTCTCTGCTGCCATAGCCTCTGTTAAAACTTCCGTTGTGGCAAAAGCATCAGTTGTAGCTTCCCCTATTGATGCGTTATTCAGCAGTGTGGTTGCATCGGTTATTCTTGTTACGTCAGCCAGATTCTCGGAAATTGCCGGTGTTGTGGCATTTTCGGACCTCTGTCCAAGAATATCGGTTGCCGTGAACGGCAGTAATCCAAAAAGTAAACAAATCCAGTAAGTATTCATTATAAAACCCCACAATTCCACTATCAAGCCTTTTCCGCTACATCGGATATCAACTGACTGGGAAATTGTACGTTTTGATCGATTTTCCTTCAGGAGAGATACAAAACAGAAGGTTTGCGCAGGCACCTTGCATCCTCGTACGCTGGGGAGGCTGTCCATTGATTCCTCGGGTGCGACCAAGACATCGACCAATCAGAAATCTCGCAGGGTGCGCACGCGCCAGCACCCATTACTACTGCACTTCAAGACGATGCGGACGCATTAGTAAGACTCGCATGGCAGAAAGGCACCAGTGCGTTGTCTTAGTGCAGCGTCCTTGGGACGGCGCGTTAGCGCTACCATATATTCACCACTTTCTTTGGTTGCTAAACTGACAACTGTCCAGCGCTAAGCACGTAGAAGGAAATTCCCGATTCGCGCACTTTCACAGTTGCCACAACCAATGCTCATTTTTCCTCGATAACATTTGGTGATACAGATACCGCAGCTCGGAGCCTAGTAGGCAAGAAATCCTTATAGGCAGGCGTCATCTGCCAAAACAGATGTAGACGTCGGAAAGCACAATTAAATTGATTACACCAAGGAGACATACGACTGGATCAGAAACGTGCTAAAAAATAAAAAAAACAAGACTACCAAGTCGCTCATTCAAAATAACCTATCTCGTTACGGTCGCTCTTAAAAAATAAAAGAGACGCCAATGGAAATCATATAAGTCTAACGGAATCTATACGATACTCTAAACAAAACTCGTTAGCAAAATATTCTTACAGTGAGTGATTCCGCGAGGCACCCTTGCGCGTGCACTTGGAAAATAGGCCTTAACACACGTAGGAAGGTGCACAAACACATTCCAGCTTTCCCCATTACAGCTAGAGAGCTTTTTGCGCAAACGTTTTACGTAATTCGCTTCAGTTGAAGATTTTTCTGCCTTCCGCTAGTGGTCATTCAGTGCATGTTTATTCACTTAGAGGAGAACAAAAAGTAAGGCATCAACGGTCATTTGGCAAAAACCTTTTGGGAGAGTGTTCGGTAACGTTTCAACCTTTATTATCGACGTGTCCACCGAGTGCTCCCAAGCAGGGTGAGTGCAGGTACGGCGACTAATGCGTGAATCAGTTTAGAGGGATGGCGGACTTATGCTGCATCGGCATCACACTCGCCTGTGCCTCGGCGTGCTGCCACACTCCCCATGTATGTCATTTTACAAGTGCGTAGCTCAGTAACGCGGGCCGTAACCTGATCCGGTCCCCGTGCTGGTCCACTGAAATTCCCGCCTGGCATGTTGTAGAGGTAAACGGAAAGTGTCAGGTAATGGTTAGTGATCACAAATACTTCCGCAATTTGAAAAGGAGTTAAGACTATAATTGATCAGGATATCAACTGTTAAGTACATTCACTCTGTGGCAGGAATAACTTCCGTCTGTTTTGTCCTCCCATCAGCTTAAGTTTGTTTTAACGTAGAAAGGTTTCTGAAAATCTAACAGCAGGAGGGCAAGGCTTTGATTATATGACAATTCACAGGCGCCATCATACATCCTCAAAAATCGCAGTGAAGCGAGCAATAATAACCAGACTGCATAACTGGAACGAGAAATAGATAATACCGCTAACCATACCACAAGTCCATACTGACCAAAAGGATGCATTCACATGTTCAGTCAATGTCGACTACAACGTAGAACAGGCGGCTCTTCCCGTCAGACGCATCTGAATTGTCGACCTCCCTCTTTTCACGATGGAGCAATCTGCTGATATGGCAATAAATAAGCCGCCCATATGATCTCAATGGGATGCATTTTATTAGCATCGCCATGCCGATTTCGGCTAGTGAACCAGGCAACTTGGTCAATCTTGATAGCAAGGTCTAGTAATTTTGCCGGATGAACTACTTTATTAAGTAAGTAGCAGTTATTTTCTAAAACTTTCATCATCTTTCTTTCAGACCATTTCGCTGCCCATAGGTCCCTGTACATATCGCCCTTAATGCACACAACCATATAACGTTATGCTAATGTCGACAAGGAGTGTTTCATGCAATCGATCATTATGAAAAGCAAGTATTCTAAAGTTTATGCTGTACATATTTTGCTATGCTAAAAACAGAGAGTAATTCATAACTGCACTTCATTACTTCAGATCCGTTAAAGGCTAAAACGAGCCCCGCAAATCCAGTTTCGCTGCTTTCATGTTTACAGGAAAATCAACAAAAATTAAATAATCGGACGGGCTACAGAAAAGCAAATTCAACAATCAGTTTCGATTGAAGAGTCAATTTGGCCAATGTATCCAGCTCTACAGGAGCAAATGAATGAATAAATACACATCGATGTGGCCTGCAACGGTAGTCGGTCTTTACCTCCCAAGCGTAGGAGGGGAGAGTTAGCGAAACATATGCGTTAATTTGTTGCGGGGGAAGCGCTGGTGATCGCTGTCTTCCGACATTGTCTTCCTATGTCACTTGCTGCGTCCCCTAGAAAAGGTAGTCTTATAAATAAGGCTTTTTCTGCATTTGCGATGGTGGGCTTTGCCACGCGCTGCCTATATTTCGGAAGATAAATCTCTCCGGGTATCCGTTTTCGTGGAGCATATCCCGCAGCTACTGGAGTTCTGCCTCAATAGTCTCACGGAAGCATTCTTGATAGCCCTGACAAACTACCTTGACAGGTTGCACGCAAAACGCTCAGCTTCTCTGCAATGGTCACCTGTACAGGCAACGTGTCAAAGTGGTTTTTCGAGGCCACTTCGGTGTGCATTTACTCATTCGTTTGCTCCTGTGGAGCGGGATACATTGACCGTACAACGAGGCACCTGGAAAAGAGAGCACGTGAGCAAATACCGGCCTGGCTAGGCAGGGGTGAAAACAAAGCGATTTCGAGTTATATTCTCGAACATCTCGATACGAATCATCGAATCGGTGTCAGAGAAGCTTTTCAGACTGTCTATTGAACGCCAGCAAGCTTCTCCAGAGGCCTACGCCAACGGGTGCTAGCTACAGTCGAGGCAGTGGCTATACGGCTAGCCAATCCGGTGTTATGTTGTCAGACGACGCTGACACGGGCGCTCTGTTTTCCGTGACCAACGCCGACCCCAGATGATGATTACACACCGCCCCAGCCTCCCGATGGCAGTGATGTGTGCTCAACATGCATGACTTACAAACATGTCACCCTCCCCCTCCCCACCTTGACCCAACGACCATAACACGCCTACCTTGCCATGCAGGTGGCGTGGGAACGATGAGTGTTAATAGGCTCTGAGTCACCTATAAACCCTGTGAACTTTGCATATTTTGACTTTTATATAACTATTTTAGCCCGAAAACAAGTGTTTGCTAAATATACTCTGCATTTTGACATACCGCACCACTAACGGAAATCAGTGCAACAGCGTCTTCTTGAAAATTCGAAAGACATTTCAGGCAGAGCATGTAACCGGTTTCTACTTAAGTTGGGATTCAATAATTGCTATGGGAGGTCTGAATAGCCAAATAGACGTAAATACTCTATTGAAGTAGAATTTCTATGAAGTTTTTCTGTTCTTTTGCCTTTTCATTCTGTTGTCGTCCGTTCGTTGCGGCGGAAATAAATGTTTTGTAAACACATTTAGTAATGGACTGTCTATTTGCCAATCTGCACGGGAGTATAACTCCAACGTAAGTTTGTATTAACTAATATTTTTCACTGATTCAGACAGTTTACGCAGCAGAAAAGACCCTTTCAATGACGCGTTACAATATTTTCGGGCTGATGACCCCATAGGCGAATAAGTAGGTTTGCGATGGTGCGTGCAGGCATAAATTCCAATATTGGTGGTTTTGGAAGAATGGCGTACCTTCTCTATCCATAGCGGCAACATCGAAATCCGTCTCACGTCAAAAAGTGCATTCAGTCTTATACTTTTATTTCAGGATTTCATAAAAAACAATGGATCTTAAGCTACCAAGCTGCCCTTTAGCATCAGTTCTCGACTCTTACTGAAGAACGCAAAGGATAGGAATCTAATCGATTAGGTTTCGCCAGTCAATTGCTCATATTATGCCTGGATATAATTATAGGACCTTCGTACACATCACCGCAAATAAGTAGTAACTAGGTTTGTCGGCGGGAAGGTAGCGCTCGAATCTCAAATCAAAATTGAAAAAAACATTTGCTCATGTGAAACAAAATACAAACAATCCACGAAAGTTGGGTACTTCATTTGTCAAAACAATAAGTAGTATTTGTTTATTGTATTTCAGTGAAGATATAACACTGTTTCTGTCGACTTAAGCAAGGTTTACTTCTTATTTTCGTTCCGAGATTTTCTTTTTAAGTGACCTACATATTTCATACGTACTTGGAACTCCTACTTCCTGATGACATACTCATTGCGTTCTCTGGGTTAAATAAACATTTATTCAGAATATGGTAGATTATTAAAATATTTATGGAAAATCTGGCGAGTCCTGAGTGCGATCGGCATATACGAACCGTTTGGTTAATGACGCCAAATATACCAGCACTTGTACTACCTATCAATTAACTGTTTCCGGTTATTATGGGATGCCCGTTCGGTGGTCCAGGGCAAAGCAGAAATGTTAATCTGTTGAACTGACAAAATAAATGAGGGGATAATACTTTCATTTGACTTTGAGTATCCCAGATATCATCGGAAAGACTGTGGGCCTGCAGGTAGTAGGCAGACTTTTGACTCAAAGGTTTCGTGAAAATGGGACGCGATTCACCTGTCAGACGTTCCCCACCTAACGTTGGTTATCACTAACTGTTGACGGCAATCAAGCC